GTAATAGTTCTGAATAAACTAAATTTTTAAATTAATTTCTAGCAAAATACGTTCTATCTATATATATATATATCAGGTCTTTCTTCAGCAAAAATTTGTTCCTTTCGCGTATACGTGCAAGATAAATCGCCAGGATTAAGTACAAAGGAATTAATCAGATACCTAAATTAAGCGCGACGCGCAACATGGGCGATTGTTCCGGCAATTAGCACTCCAATCAGACCACTGTACACAAGAAGAGACAATAAAGCTCCATTTTCCGGGCAAAAGACGAACCTGATAATCTTCTCTAAACAACGTTGCATATAGAATCGAAGTGATCCTCTCGTGATTTCAAGTTTGCTAATTTCTTTTTATGGTTAAGAATATCACAATTGCGAGTACGATGATTGCTATAGACCAGATCAGATCGACGGTGCCCGAATTAGATAATGGCAGTAATTTCATGATGCGTGACATTATTTCCTTTGTATCCATGATAACGTTTGACGTTTATACGTATATATTAATTTTAATATTGTTTTGTGTTTTCGTCGTTTGCGCCGTTTTACATCACGTTATATCTGCACATATAATAACGTTTTATATATAATTTGTTATTGTACGTAAATAAAAACCTTGGATTAATAATCATTTTTGTATGAAACGTACATCTTGGATTTTGTTCTGTTAGGCCATGTTTCGTAAAAATGAATGTTGAAGATAAAAATTTCGATGCATACTTCAAGAAGTAAAATTTTTATTTCATCAAAAAATGAATAAATTAACCTACTGTAATAATATATCTTGCCAATATTCATATATAATTATTATGTTAATTTATAATATGTTATTTAATATTAAAAGATATATAATATTAAAATCCATTTACATGAATTATATTAAAGCTATTCCATGTCCAACATTCATTTAATAGATTTAAAAATATCATTGGTAAAGATATCTTAACAAATTTAAGCTCTATCGATAGTTTTCGAAATTTCACACTTCACAGGGCTTCTCTAGAGAGCAGCGGGATGTCCGATAGACTGGAGAACGTTACGCAGACAATTTCGAGGATACTTGATGGCTACGATATTCGATTAAGGCCGAACTTTGGCGGTAAGCTTTTTAGATCGACTTGTCGATCTTTGTACCAATTTTTTGTCCAAAATTAATCTGAAATTAAATTTTTTTACTAATTTACAGCAATATGCGCGCTATTTAATTTTAAAATGTATTTAACATGTTTATAAAACATTCTATAATAAAAAAGGAATAATAATAATTGGTATTGAATTCACAAACAAGATTTTGTTTGTATGCACAATTGAATCGAATAAATCATATATATTACTATTTATATTTAATATAAAATATATATTTGTTTAAAAAATATTAATAAAAAATATGTGACATAAAAATATGATACTGAGAAAAATGTGTTAAGATCAAATTGTCGCTTATATTCGAATTTCTGGCTATATTTGATAGAGTTAAATTCGAGAATAGAGCTCGAAGGCAGGGCGATATAGTCGAAAGCTTTTAATGAAGTTTTCCACATCATTCGACGAGGATGATCGCAATCAGCACTTTTAATCGAACGTGCAACGAGGGGAAGTAATTTGCCGATATTATCAATGGATTAGACGGAGGACTTTCAACTATATTCCTTTCCCTGGCTTTCTTATACACATATCGGAAACAATTTTTTAAAAATTAAAGAAATTAGAAAAATTAGCTCACCTTTTTTAAGTTATATATAAAATGCATTTTGAAAATTAATAAAAGTTTATTATTTAAAGGTGATCCACTATTAGTCGGGATGGATCTCACTATCGCGAGTTTTGATGCGATCTCCGAAGTCAATATGGTAAGCAAATATTTATATAAATAAGGAAGCATTTTCTCTTTTATCACATTAAAAGAAGTATATTAAATTATTATCTTGTTCATCATATAATATATATATATATATATATATATATATATATATATATTTATATATATATATATATTATATGATTATATATAAATGTTAATATTATAATTTATATAAATATATACACATTAAAATTCTATAGATTAAAATATATATCAAAAGTATATACATAAATAAAAATCAAAAGTAATGATATATATTATAATTCTTATATATAAATAAATATAAATAAATACATTAAATTCATTCTCTCTTTTACTGACATTTATACATTGTTCGTAAATTGATTGACTTCAAGGCTTAGATAAACTGACTAGTGACATACAACAAAATTTCTTTTTTTCTTCATCCTCGATCATCGTTCTGTTAAAATATATTTTTAAACAAGATTCTCGTTATCTCTCTTTAATCTGAAAAATAACAAATGTATTAATAATACATATATTCACATTTGTTTTAATTAATTACGACAAATTCTATTAGCAGCACTAATCATTATTTGCATCCCAGGATTACACGATAACGATGTACTTAAATCAATTTTGGAAGGATGAAAGACTCGCCTTTTCGCACGAGGACGAAGTCTTGACGTTAAGTGGTGACTTTGCGGAAAAGATTTGGGTGCCGGATACATTTTTCGCCAACGATAAAAATAGGTAATTCGCGGCTATAGATAAATTATGTGTCGTTTCAAAAATGAAACGTTCTTGAAATCATAATCATTTTACTTCTAAAAATTTTATCCAAAAATATGCTTTTTTATTTCTGCCTTTGCCATAATGTATTGCTTTATCAAATTTATTGCAGCTTTCTGCACGACGTTACCGAGCGCAATAAACTTGTTAGATTATCCGGTGATGGCTCCATCACATATGGCATGAGATTCACAACGACCCTGGCCTGCATGATGGATCTGCATTACTATCCCCTCGATTCGCAGAATTGCACAGTCGAAATCGAAAGCTGTACGTATTGGAATTTATGTCTATCGATCAATTTGTACAATCGATCGTTCGAATACATAGCATCTATCGACATTCTCTTCTCATACATAAATGGGTTTTTATGTAAATCCATTTTTTACATAAAAACTTGAAAAATCGCAACATATCTTTTCTATGTCGTGAAAATAATTATTGTAGAAAAAAATTAGATTTTTTTACATACTTCTTATTTTGTTAATTTCTTTTGTACATTTACATCTTCAAAACGCATAATCGGAATAATAGTAGAATATATGTAAAAATACATAAATATGAATCATTAAGTAATAAAAGACGTAAAAATATTGAATTCTATTAAACTACAGACTGTTCTAAATTACGTTGTTCAGATGGATACACGGTGCTCGATGTAGTAATGTACTGGAGAAAAACTCCTGTTCTTGGGGTCGAGGAAGCAGAATTGCCGCAATTTACGATAATCGGCTACGAGACCAACGATCGAAAGGAGAAACTGGCGACGGGAATCTATCAAAGGCTCTCGTTAAGTTTTAAGCTCCAGAGGAACATCGGATATTTCGTTTTTCAGACATACCTGCCAAGTATACTAATCGTGATGCTCAGCTGGGTCAGTTTTTGGATCAATCACGAAGCTACCAGCGCGAGAGTTGCTCTCGGTACATACTAAAAAATATACAATCCTATCGATTAAAATTTTATTTTTATTAAATTAGAAATTAGTTATCAAATTTTATGTCTTTTTTAAATTTCTAATTTTCGATTGTTATTCTGTCAAATTGGCGCTAAAATAGATTTTTCTCATAAACAAGTATAAAATGTATAATTTATCATTTTTTTTCAGGAATCACGACCGTGTTGACAATGACAACAATATCCACAGGTGTTAGAAGCTCACTGCCACGGATCAGTTATGTAAAAGCCATCGATATCTATCTGGTGATGTGTTTTGTTTTCGTATTTGCGGCTTTGCTGGAATACGCGGCGGTCAATTATACATATTGGGGCGCCAGAGCGAAGAAGAAGACGAAGAAGAAAGACACCGACGAGAAAAAAGTACTCTCCTCTAAAACAGGTAATCGAATAGTATATTTTTTTAAAACTTCTTGCCCATCATTTTTCGGTTTGTCCGATCGGTTCTCCAATTCCGTTTCAGGGAGCAAAGTCAGTTCACCTTTTCCTGGCTCCACAGACGCGGATATCATTGAACTTCAGGATCTCAGAATGTCACCTCTGCCGAGCATTAGAAATAGGTCAGGCCTGGTGAGCGCTTCAACGACACCGGGAACCGGAAGGAATCACGATCCGGTCAAGTTCCCACCGAGTTTCCGTATTTCCAGGGCGGCCGCTTACAACACGCACGGTCGAAACAGCGGTCTCAGATACAGAGGCCCGAGACCGCACAAACCAAAGGTATGTGAGGGCATTTCTAAACAAAAATAACTATGCAGTAGATACTTAAGGAATGATACAAATATTTTGCTATGGCTTTTCGTTTTACACTTTTACGAGATAAATACTTTACTGATGTAAAGCCACAAAAATGAAAAGAATATATTATCCAGGGTTATTGTCTACATCTAAAATTATTATCTACATCTAAAATTAAAGTTATATTTTGTAGGTATTGCATGCTTTACGAAGAGGAGCTTCCGTGTTACGTGTCTCGATGCCGAAGATCAAGGACGTGAACATGATAGACAAGTACTCGCGGATCATCTTCCCAGTCAGCTTTATGCTGTTCAATGCAGTGTACTGGATCTTCTACTTCTTCTGAGCGACGAACGATGAACTATTAAAAATTAAACTCCGCTTGGCCTCGTATGCGCCTAAAAAGGACCAATCGATTCGGGAGGATCCTTTCAAATCTAGCATGACCGTCGTACGATGTGCAATATTCTTCACGGATGATAAAGGTCCACCGAATACCAGCAGGTGATGAAAGTACTGAATCGAAAGTACTGCCACGAAATATTTATCGATAAAAGTAAAACGTTGGCGGAGAACTCGTATGTGCCAACAGCGTTTACGGGATTTTCGTTAATTAGAAAGTATATATGTATTATAGCGATAAGCAATACGGATGAGCGACAATATGTTCCTAATGAAGCATGATAGTTCTGTCATGTTCACACGATACGAGAAGTGTCGATAAGTAGGACGATAAATTTCGCGGTGATATTGAGAAACAAAACGTGTCGGAATAAGATATCTGATGATAAAAGTGATCTAAGTCATATATTTTATTTTGAAGATAAGATGTTGTGAATACTGAAAACATTTTTTTTATATATTAAGAAACATTACATTTAGCAAAATAACTAAAGTCTACTTTCACTCTGCTAATCTTTTCTGTAATAATGTTTTACAGAATTAGATAAAATAGAATTATAAAAATAAAAAGATTACTTTTTTACATTTGTGACTTGGTTCACTTTCCGCGATCATTAACGCAAAACGATACATACTCCGGCCCCCAAATTCCATACAATAGATTTAAGATCAATATCAAAAGTACGAAATTAGCAAATTTGTATTATGTTTAAATAAGGCGATTGATGGAATCAAAGGAATTATTATCGGTATAATAAATTGTGTTTTGAAGAATTACATTGATGATATAAATGGATAACTATAATTTTTTCTATATATAATTGTTTCTATAATTGTCTTTTTTAGTAACATAAATTTGCAGCATGGATTATAATAGACGTTGTCATGTACAAAATTTAAGATATTTTTCTTAAAGTTCAAAATAAAAAGTTTGAAAAGCGACATATAGAGACATATAAAGACATAAATTTGTGACTTAACAATTTCTAAATATAATTTTAAGAAATAAATATGATTATAAAAATAATAAATAATTACATAAAAGTTGGATAAATTAAGCATGTGTCTACTGCGAATAGAATACAATTGTACGGCGGAAATTTGCTTTCATTATTGTACAGTGAATCGTATAATTCTGAAATTTTTATCTTTAGAAGTAAATAGCACTTGTTTGGGAATGTGTATAAACTATCAACGATTGTCTAGAGACACATAATGATTTACAGTGTAAGAATACCCAAACTTCCGTTTGACAATTATGTTACAGATGAATGAATTGTATGAACATATTTTTAACGAGATTGTTTTTATAGTAATTAGATGTACATGTATATACGAGCAGTTTAATAAAAAATAAGTGTACAAATATACTATATATTTTTATATCAATAACGAACCATCTAATACTTTAAATTCTATTTAACAATTAAGTTATAGTAATATTTTTTATTCTTTCTTTTTACTCATAACCACTTTTTATATTCTTTGTGGTTTTCTATCTTTATGACACAGTAATATAGTTATTCATTTAATTTAATAATTTAGAACAATATTATCCTTTATGTGACTCTTACTATAGACTCTCCTATATAATTCAAAAATATGATTATATATTCATGTAAAATAGCTATGAGCTTAGAGTTATAAGATAAACACAAGAAAATAGACGAGAATATATTTTATTAAAAAAATCTTTTAAAGAAATTTCTTATAATAATCTTTCTATTGTAATCATATGACAAAATTGTACACTTATGCTATATAAAAGTATAAAACTTCTTAATTTGTATTCAAGTTTGTAATGCTCGATGTTACAGGCACATGTCTTAACAAGAGTATGCTCTATGTAAATATATATATATTTATATATATACTTATTCTAAAATACAAATAATTTTTCTCTCTTCTTCAAAACGGTACCGTTTTGTTCTCTTTTCATCACATATGGAGATTCATATCATAAATTTAAATATATATATATATATCTTTCTCTCTCTAATGTGAAATCTCTTCATTATCAAAATATTTTTGGCTCTTACCAATTCTATATTTGTATACTTTATAATACTACTATATCACTATATTTCATAAAAATCTTGTAAAATGCGAGATCCTATAAAATCTAATGAGCATTATCGTCAAAAGATAAAACTCTGATATAGAATTCGGTATTTCGTTAAAAAATACCTCTATTCTATTGCCTTAAAATATAGGCTTCAAAATCATATATTTCACGCGCAAACAATATTGCTCCCAAGCATATCCATATCGCATCTGACAACGTCTATTGTCTCTTATGGCTCTGTAAGCAAGCACTAATGTACAATAAATCGCCGCGTAATACGGCAGAATGTCATATGCTAAGCTAATGCACGCGATAGACCATTGCATTATGATGTCACCCAAATAATTGGGATGTCTCACATAGCCCCATAAACCAGATAACATCAACTTCTTCCCACGAGATGTCGGGATAGTTTCCAGATCTGTAAATTCCAAAAATGCATATTTATTTTAATTAGAAAAGAAAAATGAAAATAATTATCTTTTTTTACACTTACAAGGTACTGTCGGCGAAAATGGATTCTTTCTGAATTCATTTTTCCGCAAATTACTACTTCTATACAAAATATATCCTGTTATGAAACTCAAAACAAATATACTAGCAAAATAGTTAAACTTCATCCTGAAAATACATTAAACAGAAATTAAGATGTATTGATATATAATAAGATGTATTGATATATTCATGTTTATGTATATAATTATACTTACTTTTGATATAACATAAATCTTGTGGTGAGAGTTGTCAAAAACGGAGATAATAAGTGACCGACACATGTCATGTATCCAGTTCCTTCGTACATTATTTTAAAGGATGTAAAGATACTGGCTTCGTATATTAATCCATGCATGACATAAGACAGTTGCAAGATAACAGTTAATAATGCAGTCATATCAAGTTTCTCAATACTTAAATTTTTTATATCGCCAATAGCTTTAATCGCAATGGCTATGTCCACAATCAACTGCAAAATAGAGACTATAATTATAATCACGTTCATTTTTAACTTTAATGTTTTATAATTCGTTTTCTGCAAAAATAAAAATATAAATGAAATAATTACCGTTCCAATAAGAGAAGCTCGAATTAACAGCAATTTAATGTCTAAAGTGCCGATTCGTGGATTAATCTCTCTGCCTTGCCAAAAATTATATATCTTGCTGTTGGTTGATGCATATATATTCAGGTTAGCCACTGAAACTTTCCCTGCCTTGATATATAATCCTAGAGCTAAGATTGTTCCCACAATCCAACCGCTAATTGATAACTGTACCATATTATTCAGAATATAATCAGTGATTGATATGTTCATATATATGCAGAAACTGAATATCGTTATCGTCAGTATAGCGCTTAAAAAGCCTAAAAAATGTTAGAATATTAATATGATAATAATGTAATTAAAAATTATATAACAATTACGTACCATTTACACGATATTGAAGTCTTCCGATCTTACTTTGCTGTCCATCTACGATTTTCCCAATCGGTATAATTGACACACAAGCCAGTAGTGTTAAAAATGTAACGTATGATAACAACGTATATAAATTTAGATAAGATTCCAAATTGACAGATAGTTTTATAAATGCAGATTTGCATTGTTTCTTCGAGCACAAGAGTTGTGGTACAATTACAGACATTGGTAATATAAATATGAGGAAAAATGTCCCAATCCATCCGCCCCATTCTTGCGGTTTATCGACTCTATTTATTTCTTTCTCACGTTTTACCACTGTCTCCCATTTTTCGCTGTCATGTTTTGTCAGATCCTGAAATAATTATCAATATAAATATTATAATATATATTTTAATATATAAATCTTCTATTATTAAAATATATAGTATAATATAAATTTTTTATTGTAAACCTTCAAAGAAAATTTATTAACAGAATATAATATTTAAAATTATATTATTAAAACTTACTTCTCTTTGTACCGAATATCCTCTCTCTTTTTCTCCTGGAGGATAATCTTGTACATAATTTTTCCTCTCCACCGGAAGCGAGACGGCTCTATCAATATTCCTTGTCAATATAATTGATTTATATTCTTGCTCAGTCTTAAGAAGTGTCGGTCTACGCGTTATATGCATCAAACGTTGTTGCAAAGGCAATGATTCAGTTAGATTCTCCTCTAATACCTTTATATCACTTCCTTTGTGATTGCTTGTTTTGTCTATTCACAAATGAGAATAAATTTGCATATGAATATCAAAATGCACACGTATAATATAAATATAGCACAAGTATACTTACCATCTTCAACATCTATGCGAGACAAAGATATCTTAGCAAGACGCGTGTTACGAATAGGCAATTTTCTAGATGTAATCGTCGGTGATCTCCCAGGCGATCTACCTGGCTGCCTTCCTGGTGATCGCCTACTTGGTGATCTCCTACTTGGCGAATATCTCGAGGGACTTTTTGCTGTTCTTCTGCTTGTTCTAGCTGGAGTTCTCCCTGATCTATCAGCCTTAAAATAAAAAAAGTAGATCATTAAAAAATTCCAACATCAAATTTATTTTACATGTCTAAACTTATTAACAATACTCTCATCAAATTACCTTTATGTCATTCTCTCGAACTGTATATTCAGTGCCAGTTTGAAACTGTATTCTATAACGATCGCCTTTGACATTCAGAATTTTTCCTTTATAATATTCAGATGTATTTGGATGTTTGGCAAGAACTTCTTCACCCTCGGAAAACTTCATTGTTAAATTTACTACAAACAAGTCATTAAAATTACCTCAAAACATTAAAAATTACTAATTAACTAATCAGCTTCAGACAACTAATCAGACAAACGAATCTTCAGTCTGATATTATATATATTATATGTAATATTTATATGCAATATACGTATATATATACGTATATTGCATAAAACGTATCATATAATTTACTAAGGCAAGATAATAATAACCAGCCGAGCTTATATAATCCAGATTTAACGTGATCATGGCCTTTATAAAAAAGACGGTCGCTCGTAGCTTTGCGTGTTACGCGAAAGCCTCGACGGATAACCGAACTCGTCCGATCGAAAAGCGCGGGTGTGTGCCGCGTAAGTTTCGTAACCGCCCGTTCGTAGGGCTCGTATACGTACGTAAACGATCGCGGGAAAATGTTGGCGGGCTCTTCTCAACTCGAATGGGACGCGATCGCGTCGTTCACCGGGATCTTCGCGGTTAGTTTCGGATGCGCTACTTACTCCGCCCTGGGATCTCGTATAACCAGATCGGTCAGCTCCGCTTTATAGGCAGCCGCGAATGTCGCGAAAAATAATAAAACTTCCACAAGTCGCGCGAGGTTACGCCTGATACCGCTCTGGTGCATCGTAGTGCAAGCGACAGGAGGAGGGGGAGGAAAGGACGCGCGCGAGCGCGGGCACGCAGCCAGGCACGCCGAACGTTCCGCAATGCATCCGATCTAAACCACGCGGGAAACCGAACTACCGTTATGTTCGTGGAGTGCGTTCGTAATTCGCGCGATGCGTCCGGCTGATCGAGGCCCTTATCTTATCGCGAGGAACGGAAGTCATACAAATGTAAAACGTCGATGATTTAGCAGCATTCTGCTGTCGAGTTTTTAATTCAGCATTTCACTCGAAACTGAGATGAGAAAAGGAATTTATTTTGCGTTTTTATTTTGAGTTCTCAGTCCTTAAAATCTTTATATATATATATTTATATTTTATATAGCATATATTTTACATGTATATAACACTCATACATGTTAAATATATAATATATATTACACGCGCGCGCGTGTGTGTGTGTGTGTGTGTGTGTGTGTGTGTGTTCGGTGTGGCTGTATATATGTTTGAATGTATGTATATTATATATTTTAATCTTTAGAGAGCCGCAAAGTTTTTTTTTTTAACTACAAAAACTTCTCTTTAAGAAAAAAATATATATACATGTTTATAATACTACGCAAAATGGCATTGACTTCGAGTTGTTATAACGTCATACGGTTCTAAAGGTTAATATTATATATTTTCTATATATTCTTAAATGTTATATTTTTAAATGTTTTTCACATTACACGATGCATAAAATTATAAATAGAATTTTATTCTATGTAAGTGTAAACTCCTATGGAAATTATACACAAAAATTATAGGCTAAGAAAAAATCAATTTTCTTCTCGATTAAATGCTATTTTCGAAAGCATACTTCACAGTGTATATAAATCCAAAGTATATCTCGAGATAATATAATTCGTGCTTTTTCACGAGATTGCGTACTCATAGCTGTATATACACTCTGTCTGATAAGTTAAGCAAATGTAATTAGAGTTGCAGCGTTTGTTGGAGATTTAATTTTTTCTAGATATGATATTTTACATATAAAAACCATATGTTCCATTTTCTGTAAAATTTTAATCTCTGACAGAGAAGATTTCGGTCAAATAGAGAGTTGATTAATTGCTTCGATTGAAGACGTTCAAGACGTATGTCTTCAATTACATAAACTTATTTGCATTTCTGAATTACACATAATCTCATAATCTTAAATCATAATCTCATCATTTCAAAGTTTCTATTAAAACATATCGTGTGCTAAAATGAAAGTAAGCAATGTATACAATTGTAGCGACATTAATTGCGAAAAATTAATTAGGTTATAGAAACATCAAAATTAAATTTTTAACGATGTTACGAGCCCGTTTGCCATATTCTAGTGGAATTTCCAGTGAATAATCTGAAAAATATTCACGACGGCTGCGAACACGCTGTTATACTTTCCCGAAAGTGCAAACATGGATAAATTTAATTTAGAAAATGAATGTAATCTCCTAGTCCGTATTTTCCTTTCTTTTGCATACCTGTAATGATTATTATTGAATGATTTTCATTCGTGATATTAAATCTTTCTTTAATCCTCGCTCTTTCAGAATTCCTTGACGATTTTGAGCTCTGCTGGGCGTAATCTGCACGGATTCGTAGACGATATTCCGCAAATTTTTGCGAACGATCTCAAAGAATCTGAATCTCACGAGGAGGAGATGAATGGAAAAAAGATACATACGATTTTCGATCCATTTTCTACATCGTCTGTTAACATATCAAAAGGTTGTAATTCTTTAGAGATTTCGGTTTAACGTCATATCGCAAATAACGTACAATACGAAAGTGATTACTGTTGAAAAATAGCATAAGGAATTGATCTGCCATTAGATGTGACTTATAATTTATAGTACGGAATTTTCTCAGATGTTTGCGCGTGTTGTGAACATTAAAAAATATTAAGTTTTTATTTATAGATAATGCAAAAAAGATCGCAATATTGGAATCGAAATGCGAGGAGCTGCGTGCTCAAGTCGAATATCTAACGAAAGAAAAAGAAAACGCAACTGAGGAGATAGAACGTTTGAAAGATCAAGTAAAATATCGTCGTTTCAATATCGGCACGAATGTTATTTTCTCACGTTTTCATCAACTTTATTATTAGCAACGCTTATTATTTTCCTTGCGCTCTCCTACGCTCGTATTCCGTTATAACTAAATATACTCTGGATATACCTATTGTTTGTTCATTATTTTGCAAACGTGACAATTGGGTATTTTTTAATATTTATTTTCTTTTAATAATATCATTATCAATCTGTGCCTTCCTTATCGTGCAGATATTCAGTCAGAGCACATATTGCACAAGCCTCGGAGCAGTATTAGGTAATCTGACATGGCGTGCTTCTAGATTTCCACAAATAGTCGACGCTTGGTTATCGACCGTAAGTGTACCTTAATAACATTAAACGTAGATGAAATTTTCCTGTATCCAAAATTTTTCTGTATCCACAACGGGGAATAAGAAAAAAAATTTTTAGAATATATAAATACATAGTAATTGCAAATCTTTCTATGTCATGAAAAAATATATATGAATATACAATTAAAAGAAATACATGGATATGTAATTAAATATGTAATTAAATATGTAATTAAATTAGCAATTCGCAATCCTGTAATGTTTTTGCAGTTTCAGAATAAAATAGCAGAATTTTTGTCGATAGTGAACGGAACCTTCGACGCGTTCGTTGATACTTATAGAAGCGCATTTCCTCCAATAAATAATATCGAGTACCAATTTGTAATGGGGCTCCTCGGTATCGTTACCAATATATCCGCCAGTCCGGAAGGTCGTGAATTTTTAATTACAAATTCCAGCGGTACGGAATTCGTGCAGAAGCTAATTAAGCTAATGCCCGAATTGCCGTCGACTTCCGGAGCGGTATCTTTAAAAAGGTACGGCAGATATTTTATAAAGAACCGTTTTGTCACGTATGTCCGGACATTTTCTACATATTTTCCTTTTATACGAGCCAGCCATCTTATATTTTCCTTCCAACTTTCCTCGCAACTTCATGTGTTGCATTGTATGACACCTCTGACATTTCTCGAGAAACGAAACTTTGACGTGTCTCAAGTATGGTTGCAATTGCAGATTAATGTTAATGATCCTGTACAATGTGAGTATGAATAAGACCGGTTTGCGATATCTGCTCGAGTCGCGAGTAGGAGATGCGCTAAGTCATTGTTTGGAGAATGAGGCGTCCTCGGACGAGATGCAATTGCTCTGTCTTCGTGTTCTACAATCCGTCACTTATGATCTCGAAGAACCAAAATATATTCACGATTTAACTACGATAATTCCGATCCAAAGGATCGAGACGATGGTATCCGCGAAACGAAGCGACATAAGTAGTGCAGCGAAGCAAGTCGTCAAACATCTACGACACAGTCAACAAATTACGAAGTGATTTCAAAACTAATTTATATTCTGAAGGAGTACGTTATATCCATAATTTGTATACAAATAAATAAATATCGTATACAATTTATTTAATATGCTTAAATTCCTTCGTAAAAACGGCTATTAAGGCGCCATTTTAATTTTTAGAGATAAATTAAAAATTTTGAAAAACTAAACGATAAACTATGTCTAAAACTAGATTTTATATCTTACAAAATGTTTAATTGCATGTTTGAAATGTGTTAATGCCTGTGCAAATTGCAATGCCATAAATATTCTCATTTTTACGATATTTTCAGTATATTAATCTTTATTAAAGTATATTAATCTTTATCTTAATCTTTTTAGTTTCGTTTGACTCCAATTTTGTTTTTATAAATAATTCATCAAATTATATTACATCAGATTGAAACGCTGAACTTTTAAATGCGTTCTCTTCTCTGTCATTACAATAATAGACCGTCACCAGACTGTAGATTATCCTTGGAACATATGTTCGTGGCTACCGTGGCAAGGGTTGTCGACGATATCGATCTGCAAAAAGCAGGAACAAAATGAAAGCGATCGTACAGGACGCAACGTGCACTATACAGCAGGAGGATCGATGTGATATGAGTTATGTAATAATAAACCCCATTATAATATTAACAAATATATTATAATGAAGTAAATTATATGATGATAATGTATATGAATTAAATTCTCTTGAATAATTAAATTCATCGTAATAATAATACGAAATGCAGTTTATAAATTGGCCTTATAATTTCATCATCGTAATTCATATTTATTAATACGACAGTTAATATGTTTAAAAAATTTTCATTTGCCCGCTCTTTACAACAAATTATTCAAGAAAAGAAGCAAGACACGTCAGTTGCACTGACCCAGCAGATATATTGAGGTAATGACCGACCGTTCCAAATAAAACTTTGCGTGCGTTCTATAGATGTTCGATCGTGTGCAATTATCCTAATTTAAATATTCTGTAGAATTACGCGGGAGAGCTGGAAATATTACAAAGCAGAAATATTCCAGATATTTCTGCTCGCAGAAATAAAATACAAAATAAAAAAGAAATTATATATAAAAGAAATAATATATAATATAAAAAAAGAAATTATATAAATTATAATAAAAATCTAGATGGCTAAAGCATTAAGTCTGAAATTATTTTTATTAATAAGACAGATAATAATAAGATAGATGAGGCAAATATATTTTACTTTAATAAAGATAATATAAAAATAAGAATTATAAAATGTCTCTCTTTCCTCTTTGTTAAATTTGAAAAGTAAAAATACATCTTTCCCCGGAATAATTTAATTTCTCTGAACTCTCTCGAAAAGTCGCCGCATTCCGCGAATGCACTTTTCGCGAATTTTCCGGTGGACGC